ATTTCCGGTTTCGATGGGTTGATTGGAGTGAATGCCAATCGTCGATCCAACCATTTTTGACGGAAATAGCAGTCCAGAGAGAATTCCTAAAGGTTTTTTTAGGATTCCTGGACCACTAAAAGAGGTAAATTACCATATTCTGCTCGGAAATTGGCCCCATGGACCTTACAGAGATGTCCACCTCGACTTGAAGGGGAGAATTGTCTGCGAGTTTCAGAAAAGCTGGATTTACAGGCTTAAAAAAATTGATTACCTGGATTCATAGGTCTAAAATTTTTGTCTTGATTCAACAAAATTGTATCCAGGACCTTTGTAGTGTATCGAATCAAAGTCTGGTTATAGGTGGTGCTTCTGCTATTGAGTCTGAAATTTGGATTTTCGGCTTTTTAAGCCGTTTCAGGCCTAAAAAGGGACCTTACCTCTGTTTCTTTGTCAAATCTATGAGCTCCTGAGAATGGTGGCCATGGATTAGGGCGATAATTGGGAGGATGAATACAGTAACCATTCTGGAAATCTAAGAATCTAAGAATCTAAGAATCTAAGAATCTAAGAATCTAAGAATCTAAGAATCTAAGAATCTAAGAATCTAAGAATCTAAGAATCTAAGAATCTAAGAATCTAAGAATCTAAGAATCTAAGAATCTAAGAATCTAAGAATCTAAGAATCTAAGAATCTAAGAATCTAAGAATCTAAGAATCTAAGAATCTAAGAATCTAAGAATCTAAGAATCTAAGAATCTAAGAATCTAAGAATCTAAGAATCTAAGAATCTAAGAATCTAAGAATCTAAGAATCTAAGAATCTAAGAATCTAAGAATNTAGCGCCAAATAGGCATTTTGTGGAAAATGGCTGGGAAACTCGATTTTAAGGTAAATTTTCATGGTTTTAAGGTTTCCCGGTATCAACTCATATGATTTTTTGAAGTTAAAACCCTGAATGACTCCAATTTTCCCTCGAAAAACCGGATTTTTCCAGACATATCCGTTCTAAACGTCTATTTCAAACTACAACGTCAACAAG